ATGTGCTCAGGTGGGAAGGAGGACCAGGAGGATGAGCCCCCAGCTTCCTTCAAAGCGCAGTCAGGCCTGGCCTTCCATGGGAGGCCTAGCCTGATCCCCCTAGTTCTAAGAGCTCTCCCTTTCAAATTATTTCCCAAATGGTTGGTGTTTATCTGTTTTCAGGTTGTATCCAGCCTCTCCCCAGCCCCCTCCCACACACACTTGTAGGCTCTTTAGAGGCAGTGATGGGTCTGCTTTTTGGGTTTGTCTCAGTGTCTACTGGGCCTAGCACTGAGCCTTGCATTCAGCAGGTGCTTAATAAATGCTTGTTGAATCCAACTGTTGCTTTTAGAAGCTTGAGGCTTATGCTGCTATCACAAGGGACCAGTGAGAGTTTGGTGCTAACCGGGGACACTGCTGATCCCACGGGAGGGTGGGGGGATGGGAGTGGAGCCTGTCTGAACAGGCTGGCACACAGGAGGGACTTCCTCAGTAGGTGGGGAAAGGGCCAGGCTCAGGTGCACCATGGGGACAGGATCAACACCCATGACACCTGGAAGGAGATGAAGGAGGGATGGGGGAGGGGAAGGCTTAAAGATAACACTTGTCAGGAAGTGAGAGGGTCTGAGGGCCTCTGATAGGGAGGAAACCCTGGAGAAAAGTGTCATTAGTGGAAAAAACAAAAAAATAGAAATGGGACTCTTTGTAATGATGAAGACCAAACTTGTTTCCCAAGGAAGAGAGAAGAAAGTGTACCTCCCTCCTTTATTTGTAGAGGTGGGGGGCTACAGGTGTGGAATGGCACATATACCATCAAACTCAGTTGTGTTCCTTGGGTTTGGTGAACTGCTTTTTTCTCTCTTTTTCATTCTTTGTTACAAAGGAGGAGGAAGGGAAAGAAGGTTAAAAATAATAATAGCTAGCATTTAGAGAATGCTTTATGTTTTAAGTGATTTATACATGTTATCTCATTTTATCCTCACAACAACCCTTGGAGGTAGGTGCTGTTATTATCCCATGTTACAGGTGAGGAAACTGAGCAAACAGAGGTGAAGCGACTTGCCCAGGGTCATACAGCTAGCAAGTGTCTGAGGCAGCATTTGAACTCGAACCTTCCTGAGTCCACTATTAGATAGCTCACAAAGGAAGACTGGTGCTACTTTGTGCTGGGCCTTAAATGCCAAGGTCAGGAGTAGTCCCTGAATTTCATGGTGGCCTTTACACATGAGCAGTGGGTCTGAGGCAATGAGCAGATGGTGAAAGGGGAATCATGGGCCAGTTTTCGGCTGCCCTCCTGGGCCCTCACCCCCTTCCCTGAACTGCTTCCCACCCGTCCCCTGGGGTCTGTGGGCTCCTCTGGGACAGCTGCTTGCCTGAAGCTCCCTGTAGGAGTCACACCTCTCCCAACCTCTGACTTCCCCTTCTATTCCAGGACAAAGACAGCCAGCTGGGAGGGAGAGTGGCTGTAGCTCAGGGTGGGGGATCAAGATTTATTCAGCTATGGGAAGATGGAGGCTGGGGCCAAGAGCTCAATTCTCTGTGGGAATTCCAGGAATTGGAGCCTTGGCCTGCCCCAGCAGAAGACATCTGGGTTTGAATCCTGACTCACCAACCATTGTGACCTTGACCTCTTCGATGCCCCTCTCTGGGCTTCCTCCTTTCTAAAGGGATGGGGCTGATCAGGATGACTGCTAAGCCCCCTTCTGGCGTCTCTAAAATCCTGTCCTACAGTAAACCTGCACTGCCCTGAGTCCTCGGGGCCTAGGGTGGAGATGGTCACAGAGAGGTAGCAGGAAACTAGACAAAGATGTGGACGTAGGCAGGGCTGGGATTAGACTGAGAAGAGACAGAAACAAGAATGTCAGGAAGGGACCTATTCACAGAACATTATTATTGGAAATATTTTAATTTTACATATGGGGAATCTGAGGCCCAGAAAGGAGAAGAGACTTACCAAAGTTAGTGTTAGGGCCAAGATTAGCCTGGGTCTCCTACCTTGTAATCATAGACTCTCAGAGGTGGAAAAGACCTTGGAGGGAACTAATCCAGCCCCCGGCCCTGAGCAGGAATCCTTGCCTCAACAGCCTTAGCCAGAAGGCCACTAGTGATGGAGAACCCACTGCCTCCTGAGATGGCCCCTCCCACTTTGGGACAGCTCCTGCTGGTGGGAAGGTTTTCTTTACAACAAATTGAATCTGTCTTTCTGCAGCTAAACCGCTCCCCTCTCCTTGCCAAACACAACAAAGCCCATCTCTCTTCCCCAGGACAGACCTTGAATACAGCTACCACAGCCCCCTGAGCCTTCTCTCCTCCAAGTCAAACATCTCCACCTCCCTCAGATCCTCCATGGGTGGTCTCCATCCTTGACTCTCTCTAGTGTGTCAACATCCTTCCTAAAATGGGCTGCCCAGACCTAAGCAGCCTATGGCGGATCGGCTCCAAAGTCTGCTATTAAAGATGCCCTCCATGAGGGCATTCAGAGGTGGCCCCATCAATCAGTGCTGAATTGACCTCTCCGTGTCTCTCCATCTCATCCCAAAGATATCAGTCTACATGTATTTATCTGGTGTCTATTATGTGCAAAGTGCTAAAAATAGAAGGAATGAGAAAAGACAGTCCTGTCCTCAAAAAGCTTACAATCTAAGAAGGAAGACAATATGCAACAGCTATGTACTAATGAGAGATAGACAGGATAAATGAGAGAGAATTAACCGAGGCAAAGCACCAAGATTAAGGACGGGGAAAGACTTCTGTACAACTGTGTGCAAACCAGATACAAAGCAGTTGGAAGAGAGACGGTATTAGCATTAAGGGGGACCAAGAAAGGTTTCTTGCAGAAGGTGGAATTGGAGTTGTCTTGAAGGAGATACTTGGGTAAACTAAGTCTGTGGAATTCCCCTGATCTGCTAGACCAGCTCCCAGAGAGCATCAGCATCAGAGCTGGGACCACAAGCCAGTTTTCTGACTCCCAGCCAAGTAAAATGACTTTCCTTCCCAAAGTCACACATAAGGATGGGTGGCAGGGTCAGTACTAGGAGCTGTCCCCACCTGGTCCCCAGGTCAGGCCTCTTTCCACTGATTGCTGACTCAGAGAGCCAGGCTATCTCCCCCACCTCCTTGTGAAGCTCTCCTGGGTCCTGGGCCTCAGAAGCTTCCCCCTTCCATCAAACACATTGCACTCCCCATCCTCCAACAGATAAAGAGACTGCTTTGACCTGATAGGCATTCAGGAAGTGTCTGCTTTGGGCAGAATTCCAGGCAGCCTATTAGGGCCCCTAACTACTGCCCTTTATACCCACACCAGGCCTCAGCATGGGTCAGTTGACACATGAGGCAAAGAATCCCTGCCAGAGTTTATCCTAAGAACTCATCCTCTGTCCCCAGCAGGCCCAGGAGGCCACCTAGGGCTCAGGAATGTTCCTGCTCCCCAAGGCAGCCCCCCTGGAGTCCCATGAAACAGTATAGAATGGTGGAAAGGCATCTATACTTGGACCCAGGCAGCTGGGCTGTGGGGAATCCATTCGGCTGCTCCCTAGCTGGGTGATTTTCCTCTCTAAAATGGAGTCACAGGGGCAGCTAGGTGGCACAGTAGATAGAGCTCCAGCCTTGGAGTCAGGAGGACCTGAGTTCAAATCTGACTTCAGACACTTGACGCTTACTAGCTGTGTGACCCTGGACAAGTCACTTAACCCTCATTGCCTCACCAAAAAAAAAAAAAAAAAAAGCATAAAATGGAGTCACCACCCTTGCATGACTTACTTCACAGGAGTCATTGTGAGAACCAAATAAGATGACATATATGAAGTATTCTGCAAACCTTAGTGTGCCGTGGTAATGTCAGCTTTTAGCGTCGGTTGTCCAGGTGGGACTGGACTCTCCATCCTTGGACACTCCCTTCACTGCCACCTCCCCAAGGTTCCCTCTACACTTGGCCTGATTCCTGAACTCAGGAATGTTTGAAGGCAATAATACTGAACACAATTTCTGCAAAACTGGTCACAATGGACCTGTAAGGGAGCAAATACCTGGATTGTTACTCCCATTTTTCAGATGAAGAAGGAAACTGAGACTCAGAGAAGGGAGAGAAGGAACTCTCTTTTGGTCCATTGGCTAACAGGTATCACCCCTGAGATCTACCCTCTGCTCTTACTACTCCAAATGCCACCCAACAGAATTTGGACATGGAGCCAGGAAAAACCCTGCACTATGTGGAGTGATTGCAGCAGGCAAGCAGCAACTTTGGGAGGGGGGAGTCCTGGCTCCCCAGCCCCCAGGGCTCTTTCACTGCAGGGGACCTGCCAGCCCAGCCAGTCACATCTGGGGGCCCAGACTGAAATCACGACTTAGATTAGGACCCATACTTGAATCAGGACCAGGGTTAAAGCCTTATCTGGGACGGGCAGGCCTCACTCAGACCGGGATCAGGGCTCAGTGTGGGACCAGGTTCAAAATCAGTACTCAGACTGAGACTAAGATCAGGACTCTGGGGCAGCTAGGCGGTATGGTGGACAGAGTCCCGGGCCTGGAGCTGGGATAGACTTGACTTCAAATCCAAACTCAGACACTTACTAGCTGTGTGACCCTGAGCAAGTCATTTAACCTGTTTCCTCATCTGTAAAATGGGGATAATAATTAACACCTACCTGCCAGGGTTGTTGTGAAGATCAAATAAGATAAATTGTAAAGCACTTAGCACAGTGCCTGGCACATAGTAGTTGCTATATAAATATCTTTGTTGTTATTGCGATTAGTCGGGAGCCATTGACGGGGCTCAAACTGGGGCCAAGACCAGGATCATCACCCAGGCTCCGATCAGGACCAGGGTCAGGGTCAGGGCTCAGCCACTGAGCAGTCGTCCGCAGCAGCCCACGGAGAACCGCAAGAATAAATTGAGTGTGGCAAGGGGCGGAGGATGGGGGCGGGGCGGGGGAAGGGGAGGCGGAGGCCCGTGGGCAGGTCTGGCAGCGTGGCGTGGGCGGGGCCGGAGGCGGGGCAGGCCGAGATCCCCCAGACCTGAGCCTCGGCCCGGCTGGGCGAGCAGTAACAGCAGCCGGAGCTGTCTCCAGCGCCCAGCGGCCGACCCCGCGCGGAAGAGTGAGCTCCCGGCTGGAGGAATAGACGGACAGGCGGACGGACAGACTGACGGTCGGACAGCCGGCCCGGCCGTGCCCGGTGAGTGACCCCCTACCGCCCCCCGCCGGAATGTGGCCCGGCACCGCCAGGGTTTGCGCACCCACAGCGCCGGGCGGGGCCCCAGGCGTCCAGAGCTGGACCACGATGACGACCCTCCTCGAGGGGCTGCACCGGGCACCTAGCGCCTAGGGGAACCTGGGACTGGGGCCTGGGAGGGGGGGCTCTACGAGGGTCACGGGCGTAGGGGTGGGGGAATCCAGGCTTCCGTCCTCAGGAAACCCCCTTCGTAATAAGGATATGCTTCACCCAGCGGATCGAAACCCAGGGGCAGATGGTATGGTGGAGAGAGCCCGGGGTTGAAGGCAGAGGCCCTGGATTCCAATCTTAATTCTGACACAGTTTCCTCTCCTGGAGAATAGGCACAATTATAACTCCTACCAGCCAGGGCTGCGGCGAGCTCCTTTCTGTTAATAGGAGCCCCTCCAACCTTGAAGCGGGAGACGATTGTGGACTTGTATTAGTCTTCCCACTAGGAGCATCTGAAGCCCCTGACTGTGTCTCAGTTATTCCCTCTCTAAAATGGACCGTTGGGGGGAAGGGAGGTACATGGGCTGATACCTGAGGCCTCTGCTAGCCCTGTGCAGCTCCAAAGCCAGCCCCACTCTGAGTGACTTCATATGGGCAGGGTTGGGCAGGGCAGCCTTCCTGGAGGAGGTGTGTTTGAGGCAGCTTTGGAAGAAGCTGAGATCAGCTGGCTGTTAGAAATTACTTTTAACCAGGGAGGACACTGAGGCCCAAAGAAGGAAAGATGCTTAGCCCAAGTCCTAAGGAAGGTAGTGGCACCTGGAGATTCCCAAGTCAGTGCCCTCCCTCCGCCTTCCCCCCCTTACATCTGGACTTTCTAAGTAGGGCACAGACACTGAGGTAAGGTAGGATGTACTGCCTTGGTGCACAGGGAGGCTTAGAGCTGGGGAGGTAAGTGCAGAGGTGGGGGTCAAGATGAGGCTGGTGGGGGGATACAATTTCCTTTTCACTCAATCCTTTGAGACAGGCTAGCCTCATGGTCCCCGTTTTCCTAAAGGGGAAACCTGAGGCCTGGACTCTTAGGTGACTTCTCTGGGGTCCCAGGAAAGCCCCAAGTCCTGACCTGGTTCTGCATAATGAATAGTAGATCTGGAGAGAGCCTAAGATACCAGGGAGTCTCTGTTACATTTGAGGAAACTGAGCCTAAGCAAGAACATGGACTTGCCCTGGGTCACATGTCCAGGTGCTCTATCTCCCAGGCCTGCGTTTTTCCCTCGAAAGAGGCCCTGAAAGGCCTCTAGAGGACATCAGAGGTCCAGCAGCCAGTGCTTGGAGGGGGACAGATGGAAAAGCCAGGCTGGTTGAGGGTTGGCAATGGGTGTGGGTGTATGGGGGAGGAGGATAAAAGGGGACAGGGGCCTCTCTGAAACCCTCCTGATCTGAGTTCTCAGAGCTATCCTGGTGGGGATGGTGTGTGTATGGGATTAGCCTTGGCCTGGGAGAGCAGAGCCAACAGCAGTGAGGGGTGGAGAGTTGTCAAGGAACCAGTTGAGGCTGTGACAGAGTGGGAGGGGCTGGGGGGGAGGGGCAGTGAGTGCCCCCTCCCTGGAGGGTTGAAGCAGAAGCTGGATGCTCACTTGACTGGGATGTTACACGGGGGATTCCTTTTTGTATGGGTAGGACCAGATACTCTTGAGGTCGCTGCCAACTCCAATTCTGGGATTCTGTGAATCTAGGGAGGGGCCATTGGAGCAGGAAACAGAGCAATTCTTCTCTGTTTGCAAAGAAAGAGCTGTCTGCTCTCTATCTCCTTGAGTCCACACCAAAACCGGGGGAGAGAGGGTCCAGAGTAAGACTGGCCCTGTTGTTTTCTACATTTTACAAAAAAAACTGAGGCCAAAGGAGAAAAATCACACCTGCCCCAGACCCCCCCCTCCCACCCCCGCAAGGTCCCTCAGTCCACTACCAGCAAACACCTGCATCTGTGCTAAGCTCTACACTAGGCACTGGAGATTCTGAGAGCACAGACCCTGGGGGAATCTCTCTGTCTCTGGGCCTTGTGCTCAAGCAAAGGCCATTGGATCATAGGAGCATTATATTTTGAACTGAAAGCTGCTAGAGCCATTTCGTCAGCCCCATCCCCCAGGAAAACCAGCCCCTGTCCTGGTGGGGAGGAGCTCACCCCTGCTGCATTGACTCTGGCCCTCAGAGGCATTAAAATGGAATCTTCCCCCACTCCCCTTCTGGAAGAAGCCCAAAGAGGCTAATGACTTACCCCCAAAGGGTGGGGTAGGAGGGAGGGAGGGGTGATGCTTCTGGCCAAGGGGGCCCTCCAGCCTTTCACATGAGTCCAGTTTCTGGTGCTAGTCACCTTCAGAAATCCACACTGAACCAGGAGTCAGGAAAGAGGTCTATTTCTGACACTAATGGGCAGCTTTCCCTCTCAGTGTCTCAGTTTCCACTGCTGTAAAATGGAGACAATTAGAGTTCACACTCTCTACCTTCTAGGGCTTTATGGGGAAAGCACTTTATTCACTTCAAAGCCTCATAGAAATGGGCAGGCAGGCTCCTGAATTCTGTTCTTGCTACCTCCTCAAGCTAGAAAGTTTGCCCCATTCATTCCCCTGCCCCCTCACCATCACCCCGGATACGACCTTGCCCAAAGCAACACACAGAATTGCCTTGTGTCTGAAGACCCAGGAAAAAAGAGGCAGCCAGGCATATGTCCATGTGGTCATACCAGGGTCAACTTTAGTCCTTTACTCTGAGGTTGATACACAGTCCATCTGCTCCGGTCAGGAAGGCAACTTCTCTTTTTGGAGGCCCCTTAGGGCTCATCTCTCTGGAACCTCTTTTCCCTGCTCCGCACAAGGTTCAGGCTCTGGCTCTTCCTTAAGGGTCTTTTCCTGACTCTGGGGTTCCCCTTCCTGGGAGAGAAGCAGAAGACGAGAAGGGACGGTTTCTGGGCTGTGTCTTAAATAGTAGCTCTGCTTGGGAAGAAGGAGTGTGTGTGTGTGTGTGTGTGTGTGTGTGTGTGTGTGTGTGTGTGTG